CTGAAAGACAAACGAAGTTTATAGAAACAAGACATGCTATCTTCTTGTAGGAAGATATGATCAGGGGGAGCATGGTAGTGTGTGAAATTAGTCTTGAAGAGAAGCGGATATACGTGCCCACTCCTATGGTTCAGGAGCCATTCTTCATGCTACTGTTGTTGTTGTCGGTCTTTGAGTGCAAGACACCGTAGTAATGTCACATGTTGTTAGTTTTCTGTGGCAACAATGAATGAACATGAGGAATCTATCCTTCAGGATCCCCTAGAACCCGTTGTCACATGTGAGGGAGGGCAACAACAGCCTCATATAGAACAAACGTCATCTAACAAGGCCCCTAGAAGGTCTAAAGAGTCAGGAGATCAGCCAATCCTGATGATTATAAAGTTTATGAATGTGAGAAATGTCGAATGGAGGGTGATCCCACCTCATTTGAAGAAGCCATAAGAAATGCTCACTCATTCAAGTGGCTTGAAGCCATGGAAGATGAAATGAAATCAATGAAAACCAACGGTGTTTGGAACTTAGAAATAATTCCTAAATGAGCCAAGACAGTAGGCTGTAAATGGGTCTACAAAACTAAGCATGACTCCAAAGGGAATATAGAAAGATTTAAAGCATGACTTGTGGTGAAAAGTTTCACACAAAGAGAAGGCATAGATTACAATGAGACATTTTCTCCAGTCTCATGTAAGGATTCTTTTAGAATCATAATGGTGCTTGTAGCACATTACGATTTAGAATTACATCAGATGGATGTAAAGACGACATTCCTAAATGGGAATCTGGAGGAAAATGTTTACATGGCACAACCAAAAGATTTTATTGTGGAAGGAAAAGAACGCATGCGATGCTGCCTGAAGAAATCTATTTACGGATTAAAACAAGCTTCAAGACAGTGGTATTTGAAGTTTGATAGTACAATAAGAAAGTTTTGATTTTAAGAAAATATAGAGGACAATTGTGTTTATGCAAAGTTCAAGAATGGGAAATACATTTTCCTAGTCTTGTATGTGGATGACATCTTGCTCGCTGGCAGTGATGTTAATGTACTACTAGAAACAAAGAAGTTATTGTCCTCAAAGTTTGATATGAAGGATCTCGGTGAAGCTTCATTCGTCCTAGGAATAGAGATTCACTGAGATAGAGAAAAGATGGTTTTAGGATTATCACAAAAGACATACTTAAAAAAGTTTTAAAAGAAATATAGTTTGCAAAATTGTAAGTCTTCACCTGCTCTCATAGTCAAGGGCGACAGATATGGGAAATTTCAATGTCCCAGAAACTAATATGAGATTGATCAAATGAAAGCGGTTCCATATAGTTCAGCTGTCGGAAGTTTACAGTATGCTCAAGTGTGTACTCGCCCTGACTTAGCATTTGTTATCGGGTTACTCGGCAGATATCAAAGTAATTCAGGAATAGAACACTGGAAATTAGTAAAGAAAGTTTTGCGTTACTTACAAGGTATGAAGGGTCTTATGCTAACATATAGAAGATCTGATTCCCTACACATAGAGGGGTATACAGATTCTGATTATGCGGGAGATGACAGGAAGTTCATATCAGGATACATATTTACTTTCGTAGGAGGAGCTATATCATGGAAAAGCTCAAAGCAAACAGTCACTACATCGTCCACAATATATGCCGAGTTTGTAGCATGTTATGAGGCCACATGGCAGGTGAATTGACTGAAGAAATTCATGCCCGGGTTGAAAGTGGTAGGCGAGATACACAAACCACTCAAGTTATACTGCGATAATAATCCAGCAGTATGTTATGCTCACAACAATAAGTCAAGTGGTGCTACCAAACACATTGACATAAATTATTATGCTGTGAAAGATAAAGTCCAGGATCATATAATTAGTCTTGAGCATATAAGAACAGAAAAGATGCTTGCGGATCCACTTACAAAAGGCTTACCGCCCAGTGTTTTCAGAGAACACTTAGCCGGCATGGGTTTAAGGGAAAGCCTATGATTCCTAGACAATAAGGACCTAGTTGAGAATCTGTTTCAAAACAGAGAGGTGCATTGTAGCTGTTTAATCTAATGGCAACTGACCATGACGATGAAGATGAAAGGTCCTAATGGCTAGAGGAGGTGAATAGCCTATTAAAAAATTCTACAACAACACTAAGATGAATGATTAGTCAATAAGATGGCGAAGCGAATTTTGTGCTAGCACTATACTTGGGGTTTCAAGCCACCTACCCAATTCTATTTTATATAGTTTTTATCCACACAATGGCTATGTTGCTACACTTAGCTAGTGTGCTCTCAAAAGCTAACTAAAGAGTCACACTAACCAAACTAACAAGCTCTCACAACTAGCTAGACTAAAGAGCTTAACAACTAGTTTGCGATAATGTAAAGAGATAGAGCAAGATGGATATACCACCGAGTCGAGGAATGAACCAATCAATCATAAGGATGAATATCAATGAATACCAATTACCTCGGAATCAAATGATGACACAATGATTTTTTACTGAGGTTCACTTACTTGTCGGCAAGCTAATCTTCGTTGTGGCGATTCACTCACTTAGAGGTTCACGAGCTAATTGGCATCACCCGCCAAACCCTCAATAGGGTGCCGCACAACCAACACAAGATGAAGATCACACAAGCAACGAGTAATTTACTAGAGTACCTTTTGGCTCTCCACCGAAGAAAGGTCAAAAACCCCTCACAATCACCACGATCGGAGTCGGAGACAATCACCAACCTTCGCTCGACGATCTTTGCTGCTCCAAGCTGTCTAGGTGACGGCAACCACCAAGAGTAACAAGCGAATCCCGCAGCGAAACACGAACACCAAGTGCCTCTAAATGCAAACACTCAAGCGATGTACTTGGATTCACTCCAATCTCACAAAGATGATGAATTAATGATGGAGATGAGTGGGAGAGCTTTTGCTAAGCTCATAAGGTTGCTATATTAATGCAAATGGCTAAGAGAGTGAGCTTGAGCCGGTCATGGGGCTTAAATAGAGAGCCCCCCATGAATAGAGCCATTGGCTCTCTGTTCACTGAAAATCAGGACGACCGGACGCACCGGTCAGATCGACCAAACGTAGGACCCCAACGTTCGGTCGCGCGATGCACGCCACGTGGCCCTGCTTCAAACGCTGATCGTCCGATCTCAACGGTCATCAGTGCACTTAAGTTGTGACCGGACGCTCTACAGTGTAGGACCGGACACAGGACCCTAGCGTCTAGTCACTTCCAATAAGGTTCCAGTCGCGACCGGACGCGTCCGATCACTTACACTCTTCTCTGTGCGCCGCAATATCAGCAGGATCGAACGCTGAACAGTGTTCAGCCAGAGTCTGGTCGTCTGCGTCCGGTTACAGGCTGAGAGTACCACTTTCTTTTATAATTGATCGGACGCTGTTCTCCAGAGTCCGGTCACACATGACTGGACTCGCTCAGAGTTCGGTTAGCCTGTGCTGACTGACCGACGCCTAGGTTTAGCCACCGGACGTGTTCGGTCCCACGAGGACAGCGTCCGGTGCACTCTGTGAAACCATGTCTTTTCTGTATAGGGCACCGGTGGCATCGTCGGACTATCCGCACACTTCGCCGGTGAAGTTTCGAACCCTTGCTCCCAAGTGCTAAACACAATATGTATTACCTTTGTGCTTGTGTGTTAGCATATTTTTACAAATATTTTTAAGGGTGTTAGCACTCCACTAGATTCTAAATGCATATGCAATGAGTTAGAGCATCTAGTGGCACTTTGAGAACCGTATTTCGATACGAGTTTCATCCCTCTTAATAGTATGGTTATCGAATCTAAATATGATCACACTCGCTAAATGTCTTGATCACCGAAATGAAATGGCTTCTACCACTTATACCTTTGCCTTGAATCTTTTGTTTTTCTCTTTCTTCTTTTCAAGTTCAAGCACTTGATCATCACCATAGCATCACCATCATCATGTCATGATCTTCATTTGTTTTACCACTTGGAATGTGCTACCTATCTCATGATCACTTTGATAAACTAGGTTAGCACTTAGGGTTTCATCAATTCACCAAAACCAAACTAAAGGTTTCAGAGGCACGCTCTATGCACTGATCTGTGATGGAATAGGAACAAGATAGAGTAAGTAAGTTGAGATTAAGTCATAAGGTGAGATCAAATGGGAGAATGTTAGATGATCTCCAACCAATTGGGCCCTTGGGATCCGCGCCCTGATCGGGGGTGTCCAACCCTACATGGTTGCTGGGTCCCCGTCACACTGCGCTATAAAGAGAGGTGGGGGCCGACGGCTCTATTCACGAGGTTCACCGTGAGCAGCCGCAGTCGTCCCACCGACATAACCCTAATCCGATCTAGAGGGTGCGCAGCCAGTGACGAAAAACTCAATTGCCTCGCCGCCACCGGACTGCGTCACCGGACTTCACCGCTACATCGCCACCGCCTTCATCGACCCGGACCGCACCACCGCCATCGCCATAGACGGCTCCAGCAGCTCCTCCGCCAAGCCCTCAGACAGTCAAAGACCACTGCCCCTCTCTCTTCTTCTCTACTAGATCTCGTAGTTCATGTTTTAGAGTTTGTTTATCGTACTCTAGTTAAGTTGTACCCACTGGACCTACGCCGGACCGTCCGGTGACTCTCCCTCCTAGTCCTAGCGCGGGCCGTGCATACCTCTCGCCTCGCGGGCTCCAATTGCGCTGCCTCTCATACAGCCCAGGAAGAGCATCACACCGCACGGCTTAGGGAAAGCGTCTGCCGTGGCCAGGCCCAGCCCACTACCGAAGCGACGCGTGCGTGCGTGCAATCGGACCGACAACAAGAGACAACGAGCGCGATCAGATCAGGATCAAACACCGCGAAAACTGCCGGTGGTAAACATTCATCGAACGCTACACAATACTAGTAGCCGGGTAGGGGAACAAGAACATTTACTGACGAAATAGGAAATACACAGGTGAGCATAGCCTCAAAACATCTACGGGTCGATCGGTCGGTCGGTCGATCTCGCGCATCACTGCAAGGCAGCGGCGACGAGCGCCATGAGCGCCGACGCGTACAATACGGTCGCCCCGGCGGCGCCGCCGCCGCGTGTCCTCCCGCCCGCCGCGGAGGTGAAGAGGTAGTAGTAGTTGCTGGGCCGCCCTGCTCCCTTGCTCTGCCCCGGCGGCGGCGGCGGCGGCGGCGAGCTATAGCCGCCCCCGCCACTCTTCGGCGACGTCGGCGGCGCGGTGCTGTCCCCGGCGGACGACGACGACGACGGCGCGGCCGGCGGTGGCGGCGACGAGCACACCGCCGGGCACGTCCCGCACTTGCTCACGCACAGCACGTTCGTGTCCGGCTGCTGCCCTGTGGCCACCGGCGGCTGGCCACCGCCGGCGGCGGTCGTCGTCGTAGCCTCGCCGTCAGAGGACACCGCCGGCGCGAGCGTCGCGGACACCGCCAGCAGCAGCAGCAGCAGCGGCGGCGCCAAGCGCATGGCTCTTCCGCCCACCATGGCCGATCCGAACGGTGGCCTCGATCGCCGTGCGATGTATGTGCGCGACCGGCCGGCGTGGTGAACTGGTGATGGCTGGCTTGGGAGGACGAGAATGAGATTCCTGCAGCACTGCACAGCACTTGTATGCAGCAGGGGTCTGCGGCAGGTATATAAAGCATGCAGCAGGTGCAGGGCCGGCCGAGGCTACGGAAGCACAGCGAAATGCGATGCCGAGCTTGAAGATGAAGCTTCAGCATGGGGTGATGCCGTGATGGGAATATGGAGCTGCGGGTGGATGTTGCACCAAGGTGGCTGTAAAGGTAAGATGCTTCGATTCTCGGCTGGAAAGGATGGCGGATGCTTGTGCCACCCCTGTTTTTCTAATTTCTACCTCCATAATATATTTCAGTCATTCGGTCGGTGGATGTGACTGTAGTTTTTGTCTTTTGGTCGATGATGTGGTGCCACGGGCCACGGCAGCATGATCTGCTGTTGCCTTCCTCGATCGGTACAACGCTGGCAAGGGATTATATGTATATGAGCAATCGGTCACACCTGAAAAATGCGGGTGCGAGTTCAATGTACTCTATGCTCTACGTAGTCTCTACCGCATTCCGTAGACACAGTATACTCTGTGAAAAATATTGAATGATACTCCGTAAATGTATTCCGAAGAGAAGTAGAAGTGATGTTTTGCTTTTCTAAGAGTGTGCTTGGAACAAATCCTTCACTGAAAAAGTGAATCTGGATCTGTGATTCACCAAGGAGCAGCTCCACCGGTGAATCTAGGATCCGCCATGGATCCACTAGAGAATTGTTTGGGTACACAACAACTCCAGATCCATGAAACTAAGGTTATTGTTGGAATGGCCTGTTTTGCCTCTAGGGTTGTCTGATATATCTTTTTTTTTCATATGGGACACGTGTTTTGTTCATATATTTGTTCATAAAAAATAGTCCATACATAAAAACAACTAAAGATAGATAATTAATTAATAAATGTCCATGACAACGTCTCAACAATATTACGATTATCCATACATAAAAATAAGTAAAGATTAAATGAAGACTAGTCTTCCATTACATGCTAGTTCCATCAGCTCAAGCATAAAATAATTAGCCTACCATAAAAATTTCACCACAATTGGACTATAAAAACTACAGCTATGAATTAATTACAGAAAAGCATAGATCAAAATCTACAACAACAAATTTGTATTAAAGCATACCATATTATATGTGCAGTGTGTAGATCTACTCATGTGGAGTCTAACAAAATTAGATTTTCCATTTTATGATTTTTCTATGATTTACTATGATTTTACAAAGATTCGCCCAAAATAAATAAAAAAGAAAAAGATAAAACCACATTTGAAAACCGCTTATAACCGCTCAGGGAGGTAAAACGAACAGTTTTAAAAGTTCAGGAGGTGGTTTACCTAGTTTTAGAATTCAGAAAGAAAAAATAGACTTTTGCAATAGTTAAGAAAGGTAACACCGTGGACTTTTTTTTTTCTTGTTGATGGTTTGGGCTTTAGGTGAGGCTAACAAGCTACAGTGACATGGACCGGATGAAAGCGGGCCGACCTTGCGGTCCAAAAGGCCACGACCTGTGCAGTGGGCTGAAAGCCTGCGATTACGTTTTGTTTGAGGCGCTTTTCCTGTCCCCAACTCGGACGGAGCCCACAGTCGAAATAAGATCCAGCCATCCATTATGAAAACCGCCATGACTTGCACGAATCTCACAGCGACGCTCACGCTTCCCCGTCTCCTCTCCCTCTACGCCAGTACGCCACCCCGAGTCACCGACCTGCCACACCAGTGACGCACACCGGGTCCACACTCCACAGCCACCTGTCCGCATTGCGTCACCTCGCCGTCCTTTCCTTCCAGAGTCCTTCTATAGAAGCGCCTCCACGAGACCACTACCGCCCGTCCTCGCAGAAAAGTTCCAGGCCGGAGCACGAGCAGCCCCTCCGCCGACTCGCCGGGGAGAGGGGCACGCGGAGCGATGGACCAGACGGGGTCGGGGCTGCACAAGCGGATGGAGGCGCTGTCGCTGCAGGCGAGCGCTCTGCGGGACGCCTTGCAGCGGAGCGAGGAGAACACGGACAGCGCGGTCGCCGCCCTCGACTCGTTCGACCGCCACGTCTCCGCGATCGAGGCCTCCATCCGCCCCGCCCAGGTTCGGCCACCGCCACCCTCCGTGTTCCCGTTCGGCGAGGACGCGTACGGAGAGGGAGAGATGACCCGTGTCTGATTCCGTCGTGTCGCAGGTGAGGGCGCAGGCCAGCACGATGGCGAACGAGAACATCGACAGGACCATCGAGACCGCCGAGGCCATCCTCGCGCAGTTCGAGATCGTCCGCCGGGTGAGAGACTGCTCCCGTCCCCTGGATTCCGTTCGAGAATGCTCTGAACCCCTAGCGAGTTGGGGTGGTGTTTTGGGTTTGATTGTTGTATTGGATGACTTTGGATGGGATTCAGGGCGCCAAAACCTGCATTCAATGCTCACGGACTCGTTTTGGTGCATGCCTCACGGACTAGTTTTGGTGCATGCCTCATCAAAGGTCCATAGATGGGTTGTACGTTGACGATTCTGTATGTGAGTGCTCATATTGTTGCCATATTGGTTGAGCTGCAGTCGGATGTCAAGAATACAACCAATGATTGATGAGCTTATTACTCTTGTTAGTTCATTGCTTTGTCGAATTTCTTCTGCAGATGTTATACTCGGTGTATCTTCGGCACTGTTAGATTACTAGAGGATTTATCCATATTGGTGTAGTCGCAAAGTGCCAGTTGGTTTTCATGTTGTAAGATTAGCATTGATATTGATCGGCTTCTGTGCTTTTGCTAGTTCAGTACTTCATCACTTTCTCCAGCAGATGTTATAGTGGGTATCTTCGGCACTCTTAGATCATTAATGATTTATCCAAACAGTGCATTCATTACTATTTCTTATGAACATGCTGATAATTTTTGGAAAGTTTTGTGCCATTAAATATTTTTGTAACATCGTCATTTTTTTTTACTTATATGTCAGTACTGTTTGAGCATAAGGTTTAGTCTGCTCACTTAGTTATTGTGATCTGTGTTTTTGAGCTTTAGGCTGAAGCTGTGATATTGAGGGGTCCACATGAGGATCTGAAGAGCTTCCTGGAAGCTGTGGATCTGCTGAAAGGCGTCATCCACTTCTTTTCCTCAAACAAGAACTTTAAGAGCTGTGAAGGAGTACTGAATCAAGTTAACAACCTCTTAACCAAGTCTAAGCTGAAGATTGAGGAGGAATTCAGGCAGTTAATGAGTACTTACAGGTAAAATTTACATGTACTTTGTTGAAGAGTCATCCACTTCTTTTCCTTGAACAAGAACTTTAATGTGTCTGCTTCTGAACCAAGTTCATTGTTGATCCTTATAATTGGTAGGGCATTACGTCCTGTATTTCCTAGGTCTTCCAGTAATATTATCAATTATTTTGATGGCTGTTCAAATGTAAACTATTGCATCTCTTTTTTCAGCAAAGCTAGTGAGCCCGCACTTCTACTTGATTGCCTTCCAAAGCTGCCATTGACATCAGAAGGGAACTCTGAATCAGTTGGAGAGCAACTATCCAAAAGCTTTGAAAGTGCTACATACAGGACTCCAATACTAATTCCCCCAAGAATATTACCACTTCTGCATGATATATCTCATCAGTTGGTTCAGGATGGAAATCAACAGTCGTGCTATAGAATTTACAGGTAGGTTTCTTGACTTGGATGTAGCATCTAGCTGTTCTGATTATTTACACACAGATCACAATATGATAATGTGTCCAGGTTGTTTGTGGATATCTGGCCAATGAGTATTGAGAGTAAATGAATTGATGGAAATACATCGATAGCGACAAAATATGCAAGCAATGTGGCACACCTAGTCAGGTCTTGGTCAGCAGCTTACACTGTATGACCAAAAATTGTTGGAGCTTGGAAATCGCTTTACCTACTGAGTAACTTAATTTTTGTCAGTTCGAGCATCTTTGATTTGGAAACATTTATGAATGCCATGCAGTATGAATGACCATTACTTTTCCTTCTCTACTTCTATCATCATTCTTTCCTGATTTTTAACCGTGTGATCTACAGAATCATGCTTGGATTTGTTTCTTTTATCAGAGATGCTCGCAGCTCAGCGTTAGAATTGAGTCTTCAAAAACTGGGCATAGAAAAGCTAACTGAAGATAAGATGCAGCACTGGGTGTCCTCAAATGTTGGAACCTGGACTCATATTATGCATATTACAGTAAGGATGCTTCTAAAATTATGATTGTGTTGTATGTGTTTAGATATCAAACTAATAAACTATTCTTAAATCAGGTTAAAGTATTACTGGCTGGAGAAAGAAAAATTTGTGATCAAATTTTCGATGGTATCACTTTCAACAAGGATCAATGTTTTGCTGAAGTGGCAGGAAGCAGTGTTATGACTCTTCTCGGCTTTGGTGATGTTGTTGCTAAAAGTAAAAGATCTCATGAAAATTTGTTTCTACTGCTGGAGATGTATGGATTAATGCACGGAATTCAGTCAGAGGTATGTGGAGATAATGCATTCAGCACTTCTCATCACAAGGATCATGTGTTTGTGTCCATACATACATTAAGTTTTACATCAAGTTTTGGCCAGTCGTTATGATGGTTGTTACTGGCCATAAAACTATATAAGTTGCAAATTATGATTGCTTGCAAGTTACAGTTGCTGTTGTCTTTAATTGTCTTGTCATCAACTTCAACAATGTTGATTGTTAGAACTAGAAAAAAATTACTATCATCTTCATCTTTTTTTGAACTTATTACCAGGTTGAAGTGACTTTTCAAGGAAATTTTTGCTCTGGGATGCGGGAGGCTGCATTAAACCTGACTAAGAGCTTGGCGCAGGCTGCCCAAGAAACTCTGCTTGATTTGGAGGTGGCAGTTGAAAAGGAAAATTCGAAGACTATCGTACAGAATGGAAATCTCCATCCTTTTACAATCGAAGTGATGAATTATGTAAAAGGCCTATTTGAGTTAGTACAACCCCTTCCATCTTGTTATACTTTCCTGACAAATGAGTATTAGTATAAGCTCTTAATCCAAACCAGAGAGATTTATAAATCCATCTCCTTTGGTCTTGAGTTGTCTTATGAGTATGCCTTTTCTTCCATCTGGAAAACTCAATATTGTTTCTTATGGTTGCATTGTGAACATGCGTGAGGATTGTAATACCTGTTGATGTTGAGGTGGTTAATGACCATTGACAATCCATTGTGCTCCATCGTTTTATTTTTTTTCCAAAGTCTCCCGAAGCATTTGGGAGTCTACTGGTGGTTTGGCACAATTTCTTGATTCTCAACCTGCTAGTAATAGTGTTTTTCTAGGTTTGCAGCTTCACTTGCTCTCTACGATTGCCTTGTTTTACTTGACAAATCCGAGGCAGTATCTGTTATGCTTGCTATAAATAATGATGATTTTTTTTATTTAAGCATGGTTTGATTTTTCGGTTACCTTTCTCCCATCCACACTAACATATCTTTATTCTCATTTGAACAGTTACCAATCTACACTGAAAATACTATTTCAGCAACCTCAAAGTGGCAGTGAGACTGAATCTCAACTTGCGATTATAACCATGAAGATTATGCAGGCTTTTCAGAATAACTTGAATGGGAAATCTAAGCAGTACAAGGATCCTGCATTGTCTCACATATTTCTTATGAACAACCTTCACTATATGGTTACGTTTGTTCGCAGGTATGTCTCTTTTGTGCTTCAGATCCACATCCACAGATGTCTTGGCGGTGTCCCTGTTCAATAATTTGTTATGTCTCACCTCAGATCAGAATCCAATGATATACTTGGTGGTGACTGGATTCAGAGGCACCGTAAGATTGTGCAGCAAAACGCTAATCAGTACAAGAGGGTAGCATGGGCAAAGGTCAGTGCATCATCGGCAATAGGATGTATTCTTTTCTATTTTACTACTTGGTGTTAAAGCTTATCATCTTTTTGCACCTTTTAGCCATAATATTTTGTTGTACATCATGGACCTCTACCTGTTTCACTGTTGGAGATCTATAAAATACGATGATTTACATGCTGCACTCTAGTGGTAGCTGATGAAAAATTCAGTTGTTATTTTTTCTCTGATAGAATGCACTAAGAGCCAAGGTTTAAAATTCAACCACAGGTTATCCTCTATAAATTTTGGATTCAGGTTTCTATTGGATTCCCAGGTTTAAATGAACTTGCGATCTACATATCCCATCATGAATTTAGTTCCATTTCTGTAGTAAACTTTTTTGTGTGATGAGAAGAAGACATACTTTTTACTGTACACTTTCCCTTGCCTAGCACGCTTTACATTTCTGGAGTTAAGATTTTCTTTCTCCTGTATGTGCATTATAGGAAATACTGAACAGATCAGCATCCTGTTATAACTATTTCACCCTTGCTTAGCATGTTTATGTTCAAGTCCCTGTAGGTTAGATGGTTTAAAATTTTATTTCTTGTCTATGTGCACGATTGGAAATATTTTTGTATAGAATCACATCCTGTTAAAACTACTCCGCTTCTATGATTTTAGATTTTCCAGACACTCTCCGTCCAAGTCACAGGTGGCAATAGTTCGTCATCACCATCTGATGTTAGCAGCACTGGAGTTTCAAGGACTATGATCAAAGAACGGTCTGTACAATGGCATATTCTCTGTAACATGGTAACCTTTTTTGATGAAATAAATATAAAAGATAAGGAAATTGTATGCTCCCTTGGCAGGTTCAAGTCCTTCAATATGCAATTTGAAGATCTTCATGCAAAGCAGTCTCAATGGACTATTCCTGATCAGGAATTGCGAGATGAACTGAGGCTTGCCGTGGCTGAAGTTCTCTTGCCAGCATATAGGTCTTTCATTAGCCGTTTTGGGTATGTGAAGTAATCTTCTTTATCCGCTCGGGATGCCTCACAATTGCTCCATTCAATTAATTGTTTACAGTTAATAATTATTCAGTTATACAAACTGCAGTAAAAAAAGTGGTGTTCTGAAATGCATGCAGCCAAACTCTAAATAGTCCAAAATATACAAGTACTCAGATTTCTCACATGAAAAATGTTATTAGCAATGGTAGAAAGTGTGCTTGTGATGTCACGTCAGTGTCTTAAATGGCAAATTAAAGATCTGCTAGTGCTAGGGATTGTTGTGTTTTACCTCAAATGTTAATGAGGCGTAAGAAAATTATGGATGCACCACCATCTTGTTCCAATTTTCAGTCTATTTAATTCAGTGATTAACTGACAAATGCCAACATATGGGGGCCAATCATCAATTTCCAGATGAACATTGAACTCTCTGTATCTGTTTTCCTTCTCATTATATTGTATAATTTTCTGAGTTTTATTATGACTGTAGCACTATTTTTAACTTTCAGGAATCTTATTATACGTGGGAGGAACCCTCATAAGTACATCAAATACTCACCAGAAGAATTGGATCAAATGTTGGGTCAGTTCTTCCTAGGACAGTAGAAGCGTTTAAAACAGAGCAGTAGAGGTATAGAAGAAAAGGCCTTGTCTAAGTAAAGTTTTGTACCGCAGCTTATGTCAAATATTTCTACAGAAGGAACTAACTACTTTTTTGTTTGCATCGCCCGTAAATGGTACTGAACTACTGATGTAGCCTAACTATGACTCCTCTGCAACACCTGTATCGCAAAGGTCTGACGTTCTTTCATTACTTGGCTGAGTAGCCTTCAATGTTAACGTTTGAGAAGACATTTATTGACATATATGCAACCTCAGGAGTCAGGATCCTTTTCCCGATTTCAGTTTGTCGAGTTAATAATTTTCTGGTTAATTATATGTTATCTTTGCTCATGCTGTTGCTTTTCAGATAATGATTGATTATGGCTCTCAGTATTTTTGTTTCAAACCGGTAACGATAAATTTACGATCGACTACTGGATTAGGATGTTTGAAGTCTCACGCAGCGTAGGGGTTTTGGTCTTTTTTTTTTTGTCTGTCTTGCATCGTGGGTACTTAGAACCATTCAATCACTGTCCTTGTAGGGTAAAAGCCAGCTGCTTATTACGGAAAGCTGGTATTTGAAACTAAAGTCTTCACTGCTAGCTTTTCCCTCCTTATTTTCTCCTTTTGGTTTCTCTTATGCTTATAATTTTTCTGTGATCTTGTATTTGAAATATTTCCAAATAGAAAGAACAGTTGATTGTATTTCAGCATTCCTGTTAGCTGTTGGATTCTCTCCTGGATCATCAATCGTCGCTGGAGCGCGCTTCCTCTCTCACGATGAACACTCAAGAACACAGATGAACTCGGTGGACAGTGGATTTGGTGCTGCGCACTGAACTGCAGCTTTTCGGGTCTTTCTCTTCTCTTATTTAAAGGAAATTACAAGCAGATGATTACAAGTGGATGGCCCGCCGCGCCATGCCGCCATCCCACGGCCACGGAACGTGGGCGCCGGTGCTGTCAGCACCGTACCCAAACATATATCTAAAACAAGCTAAAACACAACGCACACACAACGCAACAGGTTTAGGGTGTGTTTTGTTGTGCAGTGGCCGTGAGAAAAAGCTGTTGTGGGCCGTGAGCTATGAAAAAACTGCTGTGGGCTATGAGTTGTAGAAAAGCTGAAAACTGTTTGGTTAAACAAGTATACTGTGGAAAAGCTGCTGTGGGCTGTGAGTTGTAGAAAAACTGAAAGCTGTTTGGTTAAACAAGTATAAAATATACCTTCTATCTTTATCTCTCTTGAAACAACTATGTAAGAGCTTTTTATTCCACCAATTTTGAAAAACAGAAAGCCAAAAGCCAAAAACAGTGTGAAACCAGCTTTCAAAAATGTACTACAGAAAAACAGCGACTTCTGAAAAAGCAGCCTCCAAAAACAGCCCCTTTAGTTAATCTTTTGGGCCAAAAGCCAAAGCCAAAAAAACCCAACAAAACGATCCCTTATTTCAACATTAGCTGCGACGAATGAACTTGTCCCTAGTTAGCAACAATTCTTTCAAAGCATCTCTAATTTGCATCCTGTCTGCAGGTAGATCTTTTGAACATGAAACCCCAATTTGAAGAATTGAAATGATGCAAGCGATTCTCTTTTCTCGAATGTTCTGGTTGTCTCGTGTCCTTCCTTCATCATCCTCTGTTACGAACAGTAAATGTTGATCGATGACATCAATCGCTCGATCTGGTAATGCCATCTCAACGTATTTATGCAGATTAGAACCTTCTGCAAATTCATTTTCTGTTGGCCTTCTTCTGGTGAACATCTCGAGCAATAGTATGCCAAAGCTGTATACATCACCTTGAGTTGAGGCATTATTGCCCTGTCCATACTCTGGAAATCAATAAATGTAAGGCTATCTCCAACAACAACACCTAAAATACAAGACCCATTCGTCCTTTGGGTAGCGTTATAGGCAAAATATTGAATACCTATTCGGCATCTTCTTCAACAATAAGACCCAAAAGAGAATCCATTTCTACAAATAGGTTTCCAGGAGAGAGAATGACCATATTTGGATTGTGTCTCTCAGGCAACCCAAAATAGGTCTCTCGTATAGGTACTCTGTTGGAGGCTGATTTTAGGTCTCTTCCTACCCATTTTGAGTTTGGATACCCATATGAGTTCCTTATCGGATACGGTCTAAGGAACTGCATAAGTTTCATCATAACAGTTAGGTCAACCAAATGCCAGTAATAATAGAAAAAAAATGTGTATATTTTTGTAATGTTTTATCCAAAAGTATGCTCTTCTGAGTAAAGATCAGAATATTAGATGGCATTGGCATGCACCTTTCCTCTTTAGTAATGTGTACCATGTGAAAATGTATACAAAAACGTGTTCATTCACGAAATAATATCTATTTTCAAAACAAAGTAGGGAAGAATATGCTGGAAGGAAACAATCGTACAATAGAAATAAGGAACAAACCTGGAGCAGCATAGCCAATTGTTCCCCTCAAAGCAGCCCAACCTGTTGACTGCTCTAAAATGCCAGTAGATTCGTCACGCAGAAACCTTGCAAGCCCAAAATCACCTACTTGAGCAACCATGTTGTTGTCCAGGAGAACATTGGTGGGTTTGAGATCACAATGAATAATAGGAAATGGATTGTGGTGGTGTAGATAATCAACTGCAGATGCCACGTCGATGGCAATGCTTATTCTTTGGACAAGGTCTAGCACCTGTTTTCACCTTCCCCTTCTGGATGCAAGTGCAGCCATTCATGCAGATTTCCATTTGGCAGAAACTCATATACCAGAGCCTTGAAATCGTCACCTCGAAAGTCAGTGCTTGAGCAGACTGTGAGGACTTTCAAAAGGTTCCGATGCCTAACACTAGTCTCACATTCTGCATCAAAACTTTTGAATGCTCCTCGTGTTTGGAGGTTGAACAACTTTACAGCAACAACTTACTGTTGATCATGGTTCATCATTCTTGCCTTGTACACTGAGCCAAAGCTTCCTACTCCGATAAGGTTCTCAGATGAGAATCCATTTGTTGCGTTCACTAATTCAGCATAAGTGACTCTCATACGTTGGCCACTGAGCAGTGATTCTTGTGGTTTTTCTCTTCTTGACTTTCTTCTCCAATGTGTTAATGCAGACAACAGAAACACTAAGATGACAGAAAGGATTCCAGCAACCATGGACATCGTCATGACTTTCTTTCGAGATAGCATTTTGGTTGGATTCCGAGAGCAGAGTGGCAGCTTCAATTGAGGAATACCCCCGCACAGGCCACTATTTCCCACAATTGAGAGAGATGTTGTGTTGAGGAATATTCCATCCTTTGGAACCTCACCCTCAAAGCTGTTAAATGATAGATTCAAATGTCTCTACGGGCTGCGGCAGGCCCTGCGAGCGTGGAACGCCAAGCTTGACTCCACGCTGGACGAGCTTGGATTCACACGGTGCGCAACCGAGCACGCGCTCTACACGTGGCGACGGAGAAAGGAGGAGCTCATCGTCGGCGTGTATGTGGACGGCTTGATCGTCACCGGCGCGCGTGCAGAGGACATCGACAACTTCAAGCGCGAGATGGCGGCTCGTTTTCGAATGAGCGATCTCGGCGCGCTCTCCTACTACCTCGGCATCGAGGTGAGACACGGGAAGGAGACGCTCACGCTCGGTCAGAGCGCGTACGCCTCGAAGCTGTTGAAGCGGAGTGGCATGACTGAGTGCAAGCTGTGCGTGACTTCGATGGAGGAGCGACTAAAGCTGACGAAGGCCAGTACCGCGGCGAAGGTAGATGCAACACTCTACCGAAGCATCGTCGGCGGTCTACGCTACCTAGTCCACACGAGGCCGGACATTGCGTTCGCCGTGGGCTACGTCAGTCGCTTCATGGAGGATCCTAGAGAGGATCACTGGGCTGCGATGAAGCGGCTGCTGCACTACGTCAAGGGGACGGTAGATCAGGGGATCGTATTTCCCAAGACCGGTGGAAGTAGGCTGCAGCTCACCGTGTTCAGTGATGCAGACATGGCGGGGGACATCGACGGATGGCGGAGCACCTCTAGCGTGCTCGTTTTTCTCGGGTTGGCTCCAATCTCATGGCTGTCGCTGAAAAAGAAGGTGGTGGCGCTGTCCACGTGCGAGGCAGAGTACGTGGCGACGGCCACAGCGGCGTGCCAAGCTATGTGGCTACGCCGGCTGCTGGGTGAGCTGACAGGTGTGGAAGCTCACCCACCAGCACTGATGGTGGACAACCAGCCCGCCATCACCCTCGCGAAGAATCCGGTTCTCCATGACCGGAGCAAGCACATTGACATCAAGTTCGACTTCCTCAGGGCCTGTGTCGATGGAGGACAGATTGTCATCGAGTTCGTAGAAACTGGTCGACAACTCGCGGACGTCCTCACCAAGCCGCTCGGCCGTCTTCGACTCACGGAGCTGAAGAAGATGATCGGCATGGAGGGGTTCTAGGGTTAGCAGCAGGATTAGGAGAAAAATTGTTAAGTATTCTGCTGCTCCCTGGTGTAAACGCATGACAGGGGAAGGCGGCGCCGAAAAGGCTCCCTGCTGTGGTACTGTAGCCACAGCAGGGGCAGGCGCCGAATGACTCTCCTACCACACTATAGCCACAGCAGAGGCATGCGCCAAAGTCGGCCCTGCTGTCACATCTAATAAATGTAGCAGCATGGCGACCTAACTTGTCTGTGTACTAGAATTAAATGGGTAGAGTTGTATATATAGTTTTTCACTGCAACTCAATAAAGAGAGAGAGAGAGTTCAGTTTTGTCATCTCCTCTGCAAAGCTCCGGCCAACGCTGGTGCTTGTGTTGTGTGTGTTCTGTTCTCTCTTCCTTCTTCTACCTCTATCCATAGTGTGTGCTCGATAACAATAGTGCGTGGTCGGCAACGCTGATGAGTCGTCGACTCATCCGTGCCGGAGATCGGGGGCTAACATCAAATTGGAAAGGCCTCTCGGTTTCCCAAGGAAATTTGGGATTCTTCCGGACAAATTATTGTAGGAGAGATCAACCACCGAGAGACCATTTA